CTTTCTTTCCTTCACTTCCACCAGCACTTTCACTGGATAGAGGTCGCTTGGTAAAATATCTATCCAAAGAGGTTTGGCTTTGCCTACTTTTTAAAATGTTTCTAAAATGACTTAGGCAAATGTCATTTTAGAAACATGTCGAGCAGCAATACAGCCAGTGTAAACCTTTTCGGGATGTTTCTTTTCAATAAAATCAGTCACTTTCTGATAATACCTCGAGATTTCCTTTATCGAGTGAGATCCACGACGAAGTAAACACTCGGACTGAGACCAATGAACAGAAGTGAATAAAAAATGATGCTGCAAACTAATGTAACATCGTATGGTGAGTTTTTGTTTGTATCGTGGAGCAAAAATATGTTCAAATTTCATGTCGTATCCTGAAAATTTCGTATGCTGGGGCGTTCGTATCCTGAGGTACCACTGTATTTGAAAAATTTTTATTTTAAATTTGAATTTTCAGTAATTAAAACCCCTTCACTGATATAAATATCTTTTCATTACTTTAAATTAGTTTACATTATAGTGCAGCAATGGCAAACCTTTTTGAAAAGGTGAGTCAAAAGTGAATTAAAAATTTGATAACTCCAAATCTTAAATAAAATATTTAATTTGAGTAATTAACCCATTTTTGCATAGAATATTTAAGAAAGCATGCTTAGTGTATTTAAGCCATCCTGCATAATAAGACAACTGTGACAATTAGATAGTTCTGCATTAATAATCAATAGTTGAGCTATGTAGAAGTTATCTGTAGCCTACTGAAGGTCTTTGGGGAATTCATTAGCCTATGGGTGATTACAAATTCACATATAAGGCATAGGATAGTTTTTTGGACAAAAGTTGCATCTTATATATACATATATAAACATCTTAAAGCTCTATGATCATATCAAAGCCAAATGATTACAGGATTAGATCAGGCTAATAGCAGGAATGTAACCTGATTTAATCCAGTAATTATTTGGCTTTTCATCTTATATGCCATAAAATATAGCAATCACACTGCCACAAAATGCAAAGAATCAAAGAATTTATAAGTATTAAAAATTCTTTCATTTGTAAATTGGTGATCCATTAATATGCCATTTGGCATACAGAAAAACTGTACCAGATGTGCCCCAAAAAATTCATATGTTAATACCATATTGTTCCAAAATGTCTTAAATTTACACAGCATATCACTGAAGACTAAAATTCAGAATATATCAGACTTACTGAACAAATTTGGTATTTTCTTTATTTTTATAAACTATACAGACAAATTAGTTAAATAAAATTTTGTTCTTGTCTATCAATTTATTTGATAATTCTACCAAACATTTAATGAATAATTCATAAGAAACTTTTTTATATTAGGATTTTAATGATGATATACCACACTCAGCATGTAACGCCTTGATGTATAGTCTAATAAAATCAAGAAAATGGACAAGAAAAAACATTTAAAGCTATCCAGAGATCACTTATTCTATCTTAATTAATTAACCAAAAGAACACCATCTCAATGAATGTTTAGCTTTAATTGTATCTAAACATTTGGTTTATTTTTTCTGTCTGAGCTCAATTTGCTTCTTTGGACATAAATATGATTACATCATAATATAAATTGTTTGATATAAATCTATTTTAGTAATAAAATTAGTTATTTGGTTATTATATGAAAAGAAATGAACAATATTTACAAGTTACAAAATTTTATTTTGATAAATCAAAAAAGGTACACACTAAGAATATGATGAATAAATTTCCATCAAGTAAATGAAATAACTTTAAAATAAATTACAACATTTTTCCAAAGACTATCATTCCAAAAGATTTTACATGACATCAGTTTTTAAATATATAAAATATAAAAATTTTCACCTGTGATCTTTTGTAGATAACAGTTTATTATAATGAATGAGAATACAAAATAACAAAGTTAAGGTCTGCAAATTTAAAACAATATCTAATTCATCATCTGCAGGTGAAAAATCAAATTTAAAAAATCAATTTATTTGTGTCTGACTTTACTTATTAAGTATTACTACTTTATTAACTATAATGGTTTGTTATGTGCCACTTATCAACTAAAGGATGTAGAATAGTAAAAATAACAATTTTAGTTTTTTGTATTTCTTGCCAAGTGACATTTTGTTTCAAGTATATTTGCTATTTTTAAAGTAAGCATTGCCATATAATTCTTATTCATTCTGATGCAATATGGAATTGTATGTAAAATTTCCCATTATTGAATGTTGTTGTTAAAAAATTTTTTTAATTTATGATGATTTATCAAATGATTTGAAAATTTAAATACTCCAAACTATTTTTATTACATTTAAAAAATAATTATTATAATTAAATTTAGGGAGATATAGCAAAAATATGACTTTAGTAACTCAACTATCCAATGTAGAGCAAATATCTAAAAATTATACTCTAGCTGTAATGTCTTCCAAACAAAATATAGTAAATGCCATCTTTTCACTTATTTTGTTTATTCCTTTCTTCGTAACATTTTTATATTTTCCACAACTTATAATTTTATCTTTATGTGGATTGTTATCTGGTCTATAATTACTTAACAAATACTATTAAAAAATTATTTATGAATTACCTTCCGTCAATAAATTATAATTTATGTAAATCTTACTAAATCAAACTTTAATAAAATATATCTTTGTAGTTTATTCAAGATTGCTCTGTAATACTGTAGTTAATTAATGATTTAGCTATTCATCACTATATTATATTCATATTTATTTCTTAAAATTTCTTCATTGAACCTTTTAAGAAATTTTTTCATTATTCTAAAAAATCATTAAGTCTGACTGTGATAAATTAAGTAACTTGTCTAGACTTGCATGTCATTTACCACAGATGGCTTCATGTTTATCTTTTGTAATAGGGATTCATATAGTTCAGTAATGATCATTAACATATCTGGCATACTAAATACTTTAATTCTTCATTTATTTAAATATAGGCCTAGTAAATTCTAAACTCATTCTTTGTATAGTAGTAATAAACTTGAATACAATATTAGAAATTTTTGTACCAATTGTTTTGTAAATTTAATTTATTTTCCAGGATATGTATACGTAACATTATATTCAAAGTTTCATTTTGAATGTCAAGTTTTTTAAATATAAAAAAATATATAATAAATTATCATTCACAATAATTTTAATTACTTTGGCACAAAATAAGTCAATGAAAACTGCTTCATTCCATATCAGACAATAATGTAAACAATGGAAGTTTTGGTAATGTTACCTATCTTTTTCTTTTCTTAAAGCTGCTAGTTGAGGAAGCCAAACATAAATAGATTTATTGGAAACATTTTGAATGTAATGAAGTCAGTCTCAGCCAATTTCAGGTTCTTTTGAAAACTTCCAAAAAACAATCAGGAATGTGAAAATTCAAATAAAAATAATAAAATGTCCACAGTGTTCTCATTCTTAAAATTTGAGTAAAAAGAATAGAACATCTGTAAACCTTCTCTCTTTTTTAAGACTTTTTGCTCATGTTTTAATATTTCTACATTCATCAGTTTGTTTAATAGTATAGATTTTTGTGTTTATCATTGATGTAAAATAGCTGTTGCGTTACTATACACAAAGTAAAACTAATTAAAAAGAAACATGGAACTGCTAGTTTTGAATCTCCTCTCTTCACTCTAAAATATCAAACTATAATTTATGATTTTAAAAAATGAAAACAGACAAAACTGAAACATAAATATAAAAAATTTAAATTCAATAAAATCATCATCAAATTTAAAATCAATAAGTGTTAATTAGATAGTTAAAATAGTAAAAATCTGAATTATTTACATTTTATTTATAAACAATATTTTCCTTTGTTACATGCTATCAACCTTTCCAGTATATTTTCACAATATAAATCTTAGAAAGAATGATCTTTTTTTAGTATCCATAGATCTCATTTGAAAAGTATTTCGCATAGCCAAGTAAAGAAGTAAGAAAATTATTTACAATTTGGACCGATGTAGCTATTTTATATATTGCTGATCTTGTAACTTTCTAAACCTATATAATAAGTAATAAATAATCACAATATTAAAATTGGTGTAATGGAATATTTGGGAAAGTGGAGATTTCTTTGTATTGACGGAATTTTTAACTGTAATTACGTGGAATTCATTAAGTTAATTAAGAAAATTCTTCATCAATGTATAATTTTAACAGTTTAATCCAATTATACTCCAGTGTTAAATAAACTGCATCGACTAATCGAATTACAATCAAAATACCATTATAAACGGTTAATTGTGTTTAATACGAGTTTCTGTATAATTTTACGCCGAAAGAATAAATGAAAGCCGAGGAGGATTGGCGATTTCTCGACACTTCGTTGTTAGGCTTAACTAAGCCTAGTTAAAAGTAAAGATCGCTTTAAAATTAAAGCATTGTTTAACGTTTAATTAGCGTACTATTTTTATACCGTCAATTTTAACGTTCTATACTCGTCAAATAAAACGATCCTACCTTTTGGGCAGACTCCATTATTAACTTAATCCGCTGACTTCACGTCATGCTTTCCATTAGAGAGCAGACATGTTGTAAAATAAAATGGCGGAACCAAATACAGCACGTGCGCTGTAGCTGCAGGTAATAAGATATATAACCCTTTTTCCTATTGGACGAGTCGGCGTGAATGGTTATTTTTTGACTAATTAATTATGTGCAGCTTTGTTGTGGTTAATGATGTCACAAACTTATTACTTTTAAGGAAAATAATGCAACTAGAAAAAAATTAATGGTAATCGTTTATTTTGATTATTTAAATGTGTTTAATATATATATATTTTTTAAATTTGAATTAATTTTAATGTAAATCTTATTAGCACATCAGAAACTTTGGCAATTTAGTGTACTGTACCTACCCGTATGTACCACCAGTAGTGATATTCAGCGGGTTCGCACAGGTTCGGCCGAACCCGTTGTTAACATTTTCAAAGTTTTCAGAACCTTGTTAAACACATGTAACATTTCTCAATGGTTAGATTCTTTTGAAAATATTAAAATATACGTATTATACTCTGTAACACTACTAAACTAGAGGCTTCCGATGCACCATTTGAGCGAAAAAAAAATTGTTAAGGAAAAATTTTCTGTTAGCGAACCCTTTGTTAAATATTTCGAATGTCATCACTGTGTACCACCACACGTATTTTGAATGATAGCCGGATGGTGAGCGGCTAAGTGGTAGCCTGCCGCTCCTGGGAAACACCAGATAGAATCCAGCGGGTCAAAACAAACCCAGAAATTTTTCGGGGTGATCCGTATAGATATTGTGGGCCTGGCAGAACCCATAATGGAATTGTTTTCGAAAAATAGGCTCTTAATGCCCACAGGGCGAAATGAGTTTTTGAAAATATTTTTTTTACGCTTTCCTGCCTATGGGTACTAAACGGGCCTCTTTTAGCAAATCCCATTATGAGTTCGGTCAGGCCCACAATGGAGCGCCCGGGTACCGGCATATCCGGACGGACCACTCCCGAATAATTCCTGGGAAAATGTTCGACCCGTCCGGATTCGATCCCGGGTCCACAGAGCGGTAGGCTGGCACCTTGACCGCTCGGCCATCCGGCCTTTACTCTTTTTGTCTGATGGACACTAAGAGGGTCCCGTCTCTCATCACGAGTGATGAGAAACAGAGATATATCCTAGTATAACCACCCCCGAAAAATTGCTAGTACAGTATATTTGTCCTGTCCTTATTTCAGGGTTCTCGTAACTGTGGGTTAGCACCTTAACTACTCGATCATTTGACCATCTGATGTTATCTTATAAAATAGGCTACTATTTAAAAAATTATTTTCTCAATTAATGAACGAATGGAACAAATAAATACATTAAATTTCCTTTTCTTCCCACTCTGCAAATTTTAACGCTGGGTTAAACTCGCAATGCCATGGTCGCGTGATAAGGAGCAAAATCCGACATATTTCGGTCACCATAAAAATTTCTGAGCATTCGACACGATGCGACACTTTCTGAGCACCGTGGCCATCCCTCTGTATTATTCTTTTATATAGGGCCAGATGACCAAAACAGTAAGGCGTCAGCCAATCATTCTGGAGGACCCAGAATGGTTGACTGACGCCTTACTGTCTGAGCGAACAACCCTAGAAGATTTTCGGGGAGTTGTCTGTTTGTTTGCTAAGTTATGGCAACGCAACACTTTGGCGATCTGCCTAGGGGGATGCCTTTCGGGAGGTCTTTTTAACGAAAACTGGCCGCTAGGAAGTTTTCCTTAAAAAAACCATTAAACATCTATTCGCAGGTTCGCGCAAACCAACGGCCTGATCTCGTGCAGTTTTTCGAATTTTCTACACGTCTAACACCTACATAGGTACTAATTTTCCATAAAAAGTCCTTCTGAGAGGCACTCCCGTTGTCAAATCATCAAGTGTTATTTTGCCTTCTATCAATCAAATCTATCATTTCTTCATACTGGGAGTATTAAGAGGACTCTTTAAATCCACAGTGGGCCTAAAGGGGAGAGTTGTCTATTTCGGATATGTTAAGCCTGGTTTCTAGCTACCTGATCGCCCACATTGTGGACCTTTTAATCCTACTCATCTTGAGTTCATTAAAATGTCCTCTTATTGCCTAAAGGAAGTAAAGGCAGAAATGAAAGATTTTTATATGATGATCGAGGAGAAAAAAACACCAACTTGACCCCTGTGGGGCCCACCAGTGGCCAAGCGGTCTTCGGTCCCTGAACACTGGGAGTTCGGTCGTAGGTTCGCGCCTCACTCGGACTGGCTGGAGTTTTCCGGGATTTCACCACGTCTGTAACGCCTGGAGAGAAGCTGGTTACCCTTAAAAACACTTTCCGAAAGTCACTATTCCTCGCGTAACGACCGTCATAAACGCATACAACTACTATTACATGACAATTACGTCATACTTCACCACGGGGCGATATAGACTACGTTCAATAGAATCTCATGCCGGAGAAGACAAAATGGAATTTTTTCGAATTCTTTCAACATCAATTCTTGCGAAACATTTTTTTTAAATTTCAATTAATTTTATTCAATTTTTAAAATATTGATACATAAATGCAATGCTTAAAAGGCGAATTTTTGCGACTCACTACAAGTTTGTTGTATTGCTGCAGACTTTTTCTTCTTTCGATATTCCTTTTAGTTTCATAAATGCCGAAAAGAAAGAATGTAAATTACTCGCAACCTGAAAAAAAGCATATAATTATGTCATAATAAATGTTACAAATACAACTAGGTGAGATTTGAAAGTATTCATTTTTCTCAATTTTGCAAAAAAAACAATTTCGTATTGATATAAATTTTGCATAAATTATGCACAAACACCGAAACTTTTATATAAATTATATAAACTTCAGATAAAAATACAGGCACATCCAACAGAACGACTTCTCGTTAAAACGACTTTTGGTTTTCAATACTAAAACTTCAATACCAAAACGTGCCCTATCGTTAAGTGGGTTTATTTTATATTTTTTTCAATACATTGTTTTAACAGAACAATTTGTGGAATAAGTCTGAAATCTTATTGCAAATGCAAGATGAAAGAATCATGAAAAATAATGCAACTGATTTCAACTTTATACCCATTGAAGGGGACGATAAGCCCGTAAAGAAAGGTCAAATCCTCTATGAGATTGTCATTTCCTGATGTTGTGAGAAAGAGAGGAAGTGAGAAGCCACTTTCTTTTAAAGCCACCATACTCAACCTGCGACCCGCTGAGCTTTTGTGAGTGGCCCGGACGTGAAAGAGAGAGAAAAATAATTACGTTGACTTCTGGAAAAAATTACCACTTCTGGAAAGTACTGCCCGATCAATATAAGACTGTAAAAACTGTGTTCAAATTTTACTTACGTTGTTCGCATCAACGTATCTATGTGAAACGTCATACTCAAAAATGAAATATGCAAAGAACATATATAGAAACTGGCTTACAATTCACACCTAAATGCTGTTTTACGAGTAGCATGCAGCAGTTACAAGTCCGATTTAAATGAATTGACGGCCACATGGCCGAGCAGTCAAGGTGGCAGCCTACCGCTCTGGGGGACCCGGAATCGGATCCGGTCGGGTCAGGGAATCCCCAGGAATCTTTTGGGAAGTGGTCCGTTCGGACATGTCGGACCCCGTCTCTCTCTACCCGGCCGAACCCATAATGGGCCTCTTAATTGGTCATTGATGGCACTAAGAGGCCCTCTTAGTGCCAGCAATGCGGAAAGAATATGAAAAAAAGATTTAAATGAAATTGTGAATAAACGTTCGTAATATCAACAGTCACACTAAATTTCTAGGTTCAGTGAGAAATTAAGTTTTTCATTATAATTGTCATGTTGCGACCCGTGTGTTATAGCTATCATGTGTATGTGGCCTGAGAGAAAAAAACGTTGAGTATGGTGGTTTTAAAGTATTACCTGTTTGAGAATGTTTGTAAATTTTTTAAATTTATACTTATCTTCTCGGTAATTTTATCAGTGATTTACTAGTTTGGTAGCGCTCTGGCAGTGATTAGTGTTTGAACTTCTCGAGAGCAATTGACATTCTCTACTTGAGCCACGACTATATGCAACAGCGTATCCATTAAGGTTTCCCTGACAGAATCCGGAGTGCTTTTTAAAAACGTGAAGAAAACTCCGAAAAGTCTGCAGGACCAGCCTATTGGTGAGGCAAAAACCTACGAAAAGCTATTACTGATCGGAGATTTTATTCACCACTGGGTGCATGCTTTTTATAGCGTTATGTGTTTAGGAGATTGGTTTGCAAATTGTCAGATTATATAAATTATTGTATACAAAACAACTGTTTTGTTAACAACCATATTAATTATATAGTACAGTTTATCGATTAATGATTAGTAATTACTGTTTTAAGCATTTTACATGCCTAAATAATAGTTTGTTATTTATAAAAAGACATTGCCTGTTACAATTTTGCAAACTTTTTGCAGTTTTGGTTGACGTTGTAAGGCATTATCTGTTCCCTTGAAAATTATGGTAAATAGACTCTCGAGTAACGTTTTCTCACAGAATGTCTGAATTAAATGGGTTATATACGTTGCCTGTGGGGATTCGTGTATGTGAGATCGACATAAAATATATATATAATTTCATGTCCATTAATTATAAATGATTATAAAAGTATTTACTAAGAATGAAAATATTATAAGAGTAATATTTGCAAAGACTTTGAAAGAGAAAACTTTCATAAGAAACTCTTGGTATGTGGATAATGCACCTTGAAATATCTTCACGTGTAAATTAGCATTCTCATTCTGTTGCTAGAAAGAATGAAAATGCTGATTTACTAAATTTAATTTTGTAAGCATTATTACAAAATTGAATCTTGAATATTTTCCATTTTTCTCAACAAATTAAATAATTCATTAAATATAATCATTCAGACAATTAAGTGAATTAAAATTATATATAAAAAATTATATTTTAAATTTTCTTAATCAGTATTACAATATATTACAATTTGTATTAATATTATGTTAATATAAAATTAAAAAATAGAGAAATTATATTAAAATAATACTTAATTTAAAAATTTTTCATTGTAAAGGTGTGCATTAATTCTTTTCACTTTATTTTAAGTATAAAATGTATATATCACAATGCATATTTTGTATGTAAAAGCTTAGTATAAGATATGTATAAAGATTTATTTTTTTGAAGGATAAGTCCAAAGTTATCACTTTCTTTTAATAATAAATATTTATCATGGAGATTATGAACTGCACTTCTACTGACATACACTCTTATCAATATTTCCAAATAATATATTCAAATATACAGTATATGTATATATTTGACATAGGCATATGTATATATATATATAGCTTCTTGTTTATTTATAAAAAAATATAAAAAGATTCTAATTTCAGATTTTTCTACATGCAGCTAAAGCTCTTTCTTCATGTTCACATCTTAAAAATCTTTTATTTTCTTTATATAAACTATTTATAATTAAAAATATATAAGACCATAAAAATTTTCTTTTAAACTACGAAATAACATCAGTTTATCATAATAAAGTGTTGTTATTTCTTAATTTAAAAGAAATTTTTTTTTGGTATTTGTGTTAAATTCTAAAAATGTTGTTATTGTTCTGAAATTTTTCATTATATAAAATTTTCATGGTTAGTGAACCGATTTATTTTAAATTAAACAGCTTAATGATCATTAAAGAAAAAGCTAGTTGTAATTTCTAATAATAGATAATTCAAAAATAGCATTTTATATACAAAAACTAAGATATAAAATAATATAAAAATAATAAATAAGTTGAAAAATGATTGTCAATTTAGTGTAAAACATTTTCTGAAGGATTTTTTTTTTTAACAGTCTTTATAATTCCAGTAACAGAATAGTTTTATAAGTAACATATTTGCAGAATAATTAAAGTATACAATATATATATAAATTAACTATCTAAGAAAATTATATTAATAATCATCTCCAATAAAATTGTAAAAATATTAAATAGTTATAGAAAATTTGTACAGTAAAAATGAAACTTTAGTATACCAATCATTTTTTTAAATGGTTAGCATAACCAAAACTGATAATTTGTCTTACAGTATTAGATAAATTTAAACAGACAGACAAACTAACAAATAAGCAAAGTGAATGCAAAATCTCAAATTTTTAACTCAAATTATTTCTGAATTTTCGAAAAATTCTATAAATAAAATGATGGGGTTTAAAAAACCTAAAAGCCATTTTTACTTTAATAAACCTCTAAAAACTTACACTTTATAAATATAATTACAATAAAATCGATGTTTGTTAAACAAGAAAATTTCGAAAAGTAAGTTTTGTTACATTTATCATTCGCTTTGCTATTGGAAAAACATAAGAAGACATATCTCCTATTCGTAAAAGAATAAACATTAGTCCAAACTATAGGAAAAGAAAAGGATTCTCTAAAAATTTTGACAGGAATGTACGATGAAAAATGTAGAACTATATTTGATACGATTATAGCTATCTCAAAGTTCAGACATTAAAGAAAAAAAGTGGTGACAGAGATTATAGAAAGAGCAGAGGCAGCAAGATGGAAGATAATGCGATTTATACGGAAGAGCGTATTGAATGAAACTGCTTTATCATTATTATCCAACTATTACATCAATAATAAGATACGTAATCAAATTTTAAAACAGTAATGTTTTAAAAGACTATCGATCGATTTTGTTACACTTAGTACAACTATTTCGTACTGATTTATTAGGTGAGGGATTTCTTGAAGAAGATTGCCAATTTCAGCAAATTCACTACATTCAGCAAGAAATTCATTTTATCTTTGTAATTTTTATGATTGTATCTTTTACAGACAAGCTACAGATTATAAATCAGCTAGGTTTTTCTTAGATCTTATCGATAAGCCCTTTGCTTATTGCAACATTCTACAGATTAACTTAACTATAATTTTTAGTGATTCTTTATTGTCTTGAACGAATTTATCACCGTTCAAATCAAGAATTTAAGATAGAAACAGCCGAGCAAAATCCATTAGCATTGCTGAAATTGCTTATTTTTCATTGTTTTGAATAATAAGCAAAAATTAAAAGTAATAAGACATGTTTCCGGCATTAACGATGAACAATCCTTTCTCCTCAAGTCTTTAAACTCGAGGCAGACAAATTCGATGTATAAAATTTATTATAGATCTGTAATATAAATCTACTTAAATTAAATCTTTTAGAATTTGTTTCAATAGAATTTAAAACAAAAAAACAGAGAAACTTCAACCGAAGAGATTTACCCATAAAAATTCAAGCTAATGTACACAGTTCATCTTAGTGAACTGCAGGAGTTCTTAGCGATCAATAAGAATCATCGTTTGGTTCTCGTTGGGTCAAAGGGAACATCCGCGACATCCAACTGTCTGTCCTCCTTTCATTACATTTACTGAAGACAGGATGAACCCAATGGAGGGTGATTTATGAAGTTTCAACGTTCAAGTCATGGAAGCCACAATTACCTTCCTTTCAGAACGATAGTCGTTGGAGCAAAAAGAGGTGAAAAAATCAAAGGTGTCTTTATACATTGTATTGAACTATAGTGTTTAGGGAGTTACTGCCGAACATACTTTCATAAAGAATTTAGTTTTGAAAAAAATTTTAACAGTTTTTTCCCTGGGTTTAAAAATTGCTTAAATTTCTATATGTATATATTTATATATAACGTTATTTCAGATCGCTGAACCAGATAAAAAATTTCCTATTAAATTCAAGTAAAACTATAAAATTTCGAAATGTGTGAATAAAAAAGAAATGATCACAACAGTGATAATTCATAAAAAGGGCGAAGAAAATATTTCAGTATTAGGCTACAACTTTGATTTTATATATTTCATTTTTTTTTTTTTTTTAAGAAAATAAATGTGAATCGAGTGCATTAAGAGTTAAATCTACCGTAGGACATAAAAACAGATGGAATTGATGTTACCTACTTGTAATGAGATTTGGATATACTAACCGTTCATAAATCTAATTCTACTGTTTCATTTGCAGGCTCTTCCCAAGAGGAATTATGATGTGTTTCGATACTTAAAGAGAATATAGTAGTAGAAGCTCATATAAAGAATATCTATAGACAAATTTGAAGCAATGAAATATTTTTTCTTTGTGGGCTCTATTTTTATATATAAAAGCTAAAATATTTTCACAAGTTTATTCTGAAGATTTTACGTTGATGAAAAAGTAAAAAAAAAAAACCAATAAAAGTTTTAAAA